CTGTTAGAGTCTGTGACAGCATGGAGCAGAAACAGACCTAACAGGGCAACAGCTCACAGAAACTAATAGATAAACAGCAGCTCAACCGGACCTGTTTCACAGATTATCTGTCATGTTTTTACAATAAATTAACAACTATGTTAATTTCATTCAACAATCATGTAAAACAGCAGATATATACCAGAAAAAATATATATAATTTACAAGTAACAATGATCTAAACCAGACCTGAAGTCAGCCTGTCACTTAGACTTTAGCTCAGTGGTCCCCAAACTACGGCCCGGCCCGCGTCCCCATTTGGTCCGGCCCCCAGAACAATACCAGAGAGCATTTAGTATATTTTCATATTTGTGTATTTATATTTGATTATAAAGTTGGACTTTTGCAATAAAATATTCCTTACTTATGAACTATTTTCATTATTAACTATTATTAGTTAGTAACTATTTCATACATACACACATATAACGTGACATTCTGTTCCACCCTTCTGCGGTCTGTGCCCCTATCTGGCAACCCCCAGAAAAAAAACCTAAACCCGCCCCTCTCAAAGACAGAACGGAATAATGGCGTAAAGATTAAGTAAGAGAAAAATTGATTCAGAATGCAGGGCATTTAAGCTGCAGTGGACAAATTATTATTTTTTGTTCATCTGTAAAGAGGTGGTGTATTCAAAGAATACAATCTGCGGCGACACGATGAATCCCGTCACAAAGACAAGTATGATGGCTTGCAAGGCCAAATGTGAGCAAACAAACTCTCAAAGCTAAAAAGTGGACTGTTAGCTCAGCAGAATACATACTGTGAAGAACCCAGAGACGGTTATTTGATTGTGCTTTCTGGAAAACAATAAATTTTTACATTTAGGCACTCCTGCAATAAGTCACACTTTTTCTGTTACAAACTGACTCCGGCCCCCCACCAGAGAAGGGAAAAGTTAATGTGGCCCTTACAAGAAAAAGTTTGGGGACCCCTGCTTTAGCTAGTAGAAAAATGATAACTTCAGCTAGTAATAAAGTATATTTATTATTTCTTACTGTCATAAAAAATAAGAATATTTATATTTACCAGTCAACAGTTAGAAAATGTTCTCTGGTTATAGGATGAAACTTGTTTCTATTAGCTAATCATCTTCTCAACAAGTCAGGTTCTTCTAACAGAAACCTAAAAAAACTCACATTTATAATATTATTTTACACTCTGTAAGTCTAAATATTAATCAGAGGACAAAGTAATATTTAATAGTGTGTTAAATTGTAGCATGATTCAACAGAGCTAAACTCTGTATATATGCTCCACAAGCTAATATCTGTTAACCAGTTCAATGAATAACAGTGATAACAGTGACCTTACGAGATTATTTTAATTTCAAACTGTTACATTATGTTCTGCTCAGATCACATTGAGCTAAATAAGATCAAATCTGCTGACTTGTTGTAAAATGAGACGTTTTCCTGTTTATCTTCTGTTAATAAATCCGTAACACAAACAGCTTTTCTGACATCATTTAAAACATTAGATAGATTATGTAAACTGTAAAATATTAATTATAATTGGATTAATATTATTATGAATAATTTTTATGATTTTTACATCATCAGTCCTTTTTTCCTGCTCTGTCGCCAACATGTAATGGGAAATCCAGACTCTTGACCGTTTTGCGTTAGCCCTTAGCTTCACCAGCCGATCACACGGTCWCGTGGTTTCTGAGCYCTCCAGTTGTTCTGTAGAACCTCCTTGGAAAGGTTCTTGTGGGTTGTGTTTAAGGCTACGAGCAAAGGACCTTTGTGGTTGAAGGGATTCAGTGACTTGTTGAAAACTGGTTGCAGTCAGAATGTCGCAGTGCTCATGCTTTCTAACGGTGTTATATCTGAGGTGGGTTATATTAGGGGCAAACTCTGACTGTAAACCATTTACAGGTGAGGGCAAAGTGTGAAGTCATCTCTATTTTCAAGTAGACCCAAGCTAAAGTTTGCTGAGGGGGGGGGTCTGTTGGTGCACTTTGCATGAGAACAGGACGTCTCCAGCTTGAAGAAGTAACTGTGGGGGATGTTTACAATWTTCACAGCTACAGTGACTCATGATGGACACCTGGGAACACAAACTACGCATTATTCAAATGTGATGTTTTTGCTGTGTTTGTATGTGTGTGTGTATGTGTGTGTTGGGGGGGTAAAACATGCGTAAACGTAGATGGTTGATGAATTGAAGCGCAGTGAGGTGATGTTTCAGCTTTGATTAATTGGTGCTTTGATTTTATTTTGATTCATGTTTGTTGAAGCTGAAGTTCACGCACGGCAGAACAGGGTGAACACGTTAGCCGTTTTTCAGGTTAGCAACCGTCCTATTTAAAACAGCACACCACCCGTTTGACAATAAATGACCTGAAATCGCTTTCAGTCTAAAATAATTTCATTGAAAACACACATTCTGTATTTTTTTTCTTTCCTTTCTAGCTTGATTGTAACGTTTTGTGAGTTTGGGCTCACATTTAATTAATGGACGTTTCCCAGCTATGCAGAAATACACGCTCATTTTTCTTTCTGCTCATTCAGTTAATACACTCAGTGTGGCCCACAGGCTGATATAAATTGCCCATCATCAAGAGATCCAAGATGGATGGAATAATTTCCCAGCATTGCCTCCCCACCTTCCTCTGCCTGTCGTCTTTCAAGATTTCARGAAACTGCCTGAAGTGCATGGCCCGAGGCACTCTTCAAGCCCCCATCGCAGTGTCTGGATAATCTGATATGGGCATGCGAGGAATTTAAATATGTTTTTGTATTTTTTTTTTGCAACGCTGAAGAGATGCTGATGTGCTGTCTGATTACAAGGACAATGCAGAAGGCTGCAGTTTGGTCAGTCTGTCTGTATTAATGTGCTTTGTTTTGCTTCACCGTCACTGTCAAGTCACAGTGAGWGCATTGCAGTGACATGGGGGTAAAAATGTGATGTAAACGCATCAGTGCATACACAGAAAGTAAAGGGTATATGGCTAATGCTGTGTCATCAGTTTCCTTGTGGTTAACATCAACACTGACACTTTCCCTTGGGGGTTTCTTTGTGTTCTGGGGGCTGCTAAGCCTCTCATAAGGTCACAGAACACATCAAAAGTAGCACAAAAAAATCCCTAGTCAGCGACTGTTCTCCTGTCAGCTTCGCCCCAGCATGGCACGGGGTGGGGTGGGGGGGTATGGGGGGGTTTCCAGAGAGGCAAAAGTTAGGAAAAGACTGTGCAGAGAAATCACTCGTCACCAGGGAAGATGTGGATTCATCTAAGAGATATGAAAGCAAGAAAACATCAAATATGTCAGTCAGTTTTGGAAGTCTGGGTTTGAATCTGAATATGAAGGGCTTCAGGAACTTTATTAAACAATGAAATGCAAGTTGAAGCAATATACTTTATATATGTAGATA